TAAATAAAATATATAATACATATATATACAATTATATATATAATAATAAATAATATTTAAAATAAATATTAAATAATTTTTAAGTAAAATTTTTTTAAATAAATAATTTTAAATAGGATTAACAAATAATAAAATTAAAAACAAATATAAAATAATATATAACAAAATTATAAATTCATTATCCAGCTATTATATATTTAGATATTATAAAATCTATATTTTTTTAAATTTATCTGAAGTACATCAAAAAAATATTGATAATTTCAATATATCTACTAAAAACATGGCTGCTTTGTACTGTATATCGATATTTTCGAAAGATCGATATATTATTGTCATCATTATATACGATCACGTACGCTAAATAAATCAAATACGATACCGGAAATAGAACGCCGGAAATGGAAGCAAACGGTATGTCTACAAACCGATAAGGAACTGGCGGTCGAAGAACGGTACAAGACGGTTACACGTAATGTATCGATCGTTTCGATTGTTTTCCGCTCAAATGACGGGAACAACATCCACCGTTGTTCTCATTCCCCGAGAATTTCTCAGTATACTTTCTATTGTCTGTCATTTCATTCCTCGATTCACTGGTTATAGTAATGCTCGTTATCGTTTCGAACAAACAATAAAAATAGCATTTTGAATAAAGGTCTGCCGAAAGTCCTTTGATTCATCAAGGATTGAGCGATTGAAGCACTCTTACTTTGAAAAATATAGGTTATGTTATTCGTGAAACATGAAACTTCCGTATAAACTGGAATTAACTCCGTTATACTGCGATATACAGTTTAGAAATGCTTACATTTCTCATCGTGAGAAAATGCGAATCTTTTTGAATAATGAACTCATAGAATATTCAGGTTTCAACTGGACGAAAGAATGAGTGAATGTATCGTGTTGATAGACAAAGTGAATTAACAGTAGCTTAGTTATATATTCCAACATTATATTTCTTCGTTATTCACTACAAATTATATATAGTAGATTGGTTAATTATATATTAATTATATGTTTATAGAATTTTAAATTTAAATTGAAAAATTTTATTAATATATTTAGAATATAAATATAGTTTGATTTATCTTTATTTTTAAGATGTATAAGGTTAAGTGATATAAACAAAGAAATTATTCAAAATAGATATATTTTGTCATCATTCTGAACAAATTTTTCTTATATATATAATTATTATTTGATCTTAATTTTTGAAACATAAAAATATATTTGATATTATATATTGTATTTTTAAAATTTGAAATAGATTTATTTAGATTAAGATAGATTAGGATTACATTAGGATAAATTTAGATTAGATTTAAATTATTTTGATTGAATATATATTATTTTCTCTTTTTTGGCCCTCCAGTAAGTAATTTAATTTAGATTAAATTTAGTATTTAATTTTGGATTGAAATTTAAGTAAAATTAATTAGATTAAACAAAAATTTTTAATAAAATTAAAAATGAAGAAAAGAATTAAATAAGAATAAGATATAAAATATTGATTGTATATTATTCATGTAATTCAAGAAATATTTGGATTTGATTATGATAGATATGAATATATAACTATAAATAATAAAGTGCAAGCCGGTAATAAGTGCCAGGTGCGGCACGTTGATTCAATCATGAGTACACGTGGCTCGCATATTATTTGTCATTGTTTCAAGGCTCTTAGAGCATGATAAATTTTCGTATTATATTTATATATTTGTATGACTGTATTATAACTGTAATATTTATGTATAATCATAATTATATCTTAATAATTCTATTCGACATTCTTAAAATAAATCTTAAGTTTTTAATCTTTTGATAATAAAATTGCAAAGAATCCGAAACAAATAATTCCGAAAATCTTTATAATAATATTAATATATAAAAAAATCATAATTATTCTTTAAATTATTAAGTTATTAAGTTATAAATTAAGTATTTTCAACTTAACATTATTTATATTTATATTAAATATATTTATACTAAATATGAATAATATCTTGAAAGCTGCAGTATTTGTAATATTTTATCGATCTTATGCGAAGAAAAGAAAAATGATCATTTATTTGTATAATAAAAACAATAATCCTAATTGCGTGAAAATTGGGAAATACGATTTTTTATTGTAAAATTGATGCACTTGGCTCCCTTTTACGAACCTGGTTTCTTTATTATGCAAATGAACTTTCCATTTGTCGAACTCGTGCGATCGATTCTATTGTATGAGAATTTCACATCGAATGGAAGGGAAATTATTATGTGAATTTAAAATTTTAAACAAATTTTCAAATTACTTTGTAATTGTTAAAATTTTTTTCTTAAATCTTTTTTTTTTTATTTTTCTTAATATTGAGTTTTTTCTAATTTTTGATAAATTCAATTTTATCATTATTATAGAAATTGTTATTATAGAAAATTATATTATTATATGAAATTAAAAAATTTCGATTACATCTAAATATATTGCATATTTGCAAACGCTAGATAATTTATGAAATTATTTTCTATGTGAAATTTTATTTAATTTGTATTATTCACAGCAAATTCAACAATTTTATAATAATTCAAAATTAAATAAAATAATATGAATTTTGCCAACTATTTAAATATTTTAAATATATAACTTTTTAAATATATATGCATAAATTCATATGTACAAAATCTTGATAAAATTATTTATTTAAGTAGCAAATTAATATTTTTAATTATTCACGATTTGATATAATAAAAAATTAAAATGTATCGAATTTGAATTTTTTTGTATTTATTTAATTTCAACAATAATTACAAAGAAATCTTGGTATTATCTTAAGAAAATAAAAATTCAAAAATTCTTTGAAAAATAAAAAAAAACTCAATTTTTATATTATGATATAATAAGAGTCAAAATTAAACTAGACTCTAATGCCTCTCTCATGTCTTAAATCGATTATTCAAAGGAAAATAGATTACCTCTGATTGCTTTTTGTACAAATTTCTTCTATTTATAAAAAATGATGTGATTATTATACTTTCCAGAGCATGAAGGCGAGTGAACAAAACCTCACATAATTTTCAATTCTAGAATTATACTACATTATTTTCTTTCATATTTTTATTAACATTTATTAGAAAAAATTATAATATTAGAAAAAAATCGTGGGTCAATATTGATTAAATGAAATAGACATTCGAAAGAAACATTTGTGAGCTATCACGTTTATGCCAATAATTTCACGATTTCCTTTCTCCTCGAATTGCGTGCAACCTGCCCATTATAAACTCTTAACCTATTACGTGGGATCGGATAACCTGCGACATTATAGTATAGAATATTGTAGAAAGTCTTCTAAAGGCCGCCATCTGTTTTAAGAACCAGTAACTTATGAGAAATTCATCATGGCTGTTTTCATTTGATATTGTTTCTTCAAAAATCAAGAATAGCTTTTTGTTCATTGATTAACTAAATTGAAATGTTCAAGAAATATTCTGTGAGAATTTGTGATATTCAGTGAGATCGTAATAAATCGTTGATATTTAATTTGTCATTCATTGCTCGTTAAACGGTACTTAACTTTTGAAAGTGAAATGCAAAACGAAAAACAAATTACTATGAAGAATTAAGTAAGTTTATAGTCTTCAAAATTTTATAGTTCTTTTTATATCAAAAATACCTATTTTCAAATAATAGTAATAGATGCAAGTAGAATGCTTTCATTTGAATCTAAAAATTAGTAACAACTTATCATTTAAACAATTCATTTATACTTATGCGGATGCATTTCAATAACGATTTATTTTATTCTTTTACTATGCTATCATTTTTCATCATATATATTACCAAAAATGAATTTGAATTGTACTATAAATATAAGTATATTCTATAAAATCGATTTAAGACGTAATTGCAAAAGATTCGTTTCTATCATTGAAAAGAAGAATCTAAAGAATTTAAATTATATAATTTAAATTAAAATATATTTTATATTTATATTAAACTGAATCAGAATTATTAATCAATATAAAATTTTACAAAATAATTTTAACTTTTTTTTTTAATGTTGAAATTATTGTTTATATGATGTGTAGAAGTTGATATCGTAGAAGAATATTTCAATCTGTCATCGTTAAATATTTAATTCTTTGTCATTTTTCCTATAAATGAAAAAATTAAAAATTTCTTGAAATATAAATCTCAAATCTTTATTGCTATTTAGATGAAACCTCTACTATTAGCAAAAAAAGAAAGAATTATATTTTTTTGATATAAAAAAAGATTTTATTTTCTAGATATATGATGAATTTTAATTAAAAAATCCTTTAAAAAAAAAATAGGGATTGTTGAATCAATCATAGATTTCAGATAATATTTCTTTAATATACAATATAATATATTGTCTATAATATAGAATATAATATGGAATTAGAAAAGAATTTAAAATTAATATAGAATTAGGATCAAAAGAAATATATCGAAAGAAATAAGAATTTACATTAAGAAAGTTCGATGATGAACTTACCAGTCGGTGGTCTTTCTTTGGGATAGCATATCCTGAAGAGACCCTGTGTTCTTGTATAGTAATAGTATTTTGTATTCATTTGCTCCACTAAATGGTTCTGTTCAGCATGCTTGGCTGCATATTGCTGCAATAAAACAATTTATTTGAATGATTCATATTATCTATCGATCTTTTCTTTGCATTTACGAGCATCTAATAATTAACTCGAATATTTCAATCTATTGTCACCAAATGTTTTATTTCTTATAGATGTTCTCTTCATCGTTTTTATCTGTTTCTTTAAATATAAATCTCAAGTACTTGCATGAAAAATTTTAAAAAATTAAGAAAAAAAATTGAGATTAATCATGTATCAAACAATAGAATCATAAATAAATTTTCGATAATATTGTCATTCGAAGAATTTAATACATATTTTGATATCATTTGATAATTATTAAAAATATATTTTCAGTAATTTTCCTAATTATTAGTGAAAGAATAGTAATTATTTCTGTAAAACTAAAAATCAATAAAAATTCTATGTATTTCTATGTTTTTCTTTCTATTTTATTTATTTATTTTTTTTTTGAATTGTAATATTATTTTTTAAAAATTGTACAAATAAGTTAGGTTAGGTTAAATTAGATATAAATCTTTATTTTTATTTTTTTGAATACATATCTTTATCATTTTTATTTTACCTATATTGATAATGTATATAAATTTAAAATAAAAAAAAATCAAATTAGAAATTATAATACATAAAACTGATAATTTTTAATATGATTATTTTTATCAGGAATATATAAAAACACAAAAATATAAAAACAATCATCAAGGATCTTTTAAGGACTTGAATTGGAAAAACTATAAATAGGATTCCATCTTGAGGATCAGGATGAAGGAAAATGATTGAATAGTTAGTGAAAACGATAACGAAGGAACAAGGAAATATTGTTCAATTGAAGTGAACGGTCGATGGTTCGCAATGCAAATTAGAAATGAGTCGTAGTCGCTTTATGGAAATATTATGATCGTTAGAAAGTAAGAAAGCAAGGATTGCGATTCCCCCATGAATTCAAAGTCTTTTGATACGGCTGGAAAAAGGCCGGTCGAATAAATTACAGGAAATTATTCGTGAAACCACTGTTTTCCAACTTCGGATGAATTTATCGTTGGTAATCAACTTTTTCATCAATCAAAACTTAGATAAAATAATAATTAGAAATGAAAGATTATCCGGTAAAAAGTACGATTAAAGGTATATTATAATTTGGGAATTTTTATGAAATGTAATCGACTTAACATATGCTATCAAGAAATCCAATTAACATTAAAATGGATATATTTTACAATATGTTTTTGCTTTTATTGCCTATAAAATTATTTCAATATTTTATATATTTAATATAAGTTATTATTCATTATTTTATATTGAATAGATTAAAATTTCTAAAACTGATAAAACTAAATAGATTTATAAATAATATTTAAAAAAATACTTAATATAAATACTAAATAATATCTAAAAAAATAATTTAGATAAAAATCATAATATTAATATCTATCTTATTCGATAATAATAAATTTAACCTAACTAATGTTAATTGAAAAAAGAAAATTTAAAAAAATTTTAACTTTCATATGATCGTAACTATATTTAGAAAACATACAGTCAGTTGGCGATCTTATATAAATGAAATATGAAATCAAATCCTTATAATTTTTAAAATTGATAATATACAGCAATACTGGTCAAACTTGAAATATATAAATGATAAATTTATATCCGTGAAGTAGTAACTTGAAGTTGTACAACTTCAATTACTTGAATTTAATTAATGTAAGACTTAAAGGTTAGATAATAAATATTTTTTAATATTAATTTTGAAACGATTATTTTTATCATTTATTGGCAGCAAAACAACTTACAAAATTTAAATTAATCTTTTTTTTCTTTGAAAAATTCATTCTATTCGCGTATCCAAATAAAAATTTAATCCAAAAAATGGAATTGACCAATTTGTCTTCTGAGAAATTCATTTGAAATACATTACAGATTTAAATTTTGAATTAAATTTTCAATAAAATTTTGAATTAGATTTTTATTTCACGAGGAAATAAAATTATTTAAAAGAAATTTATATTAAATAAAAGATTAAAAACTATTTTAGAAAATTCTCTAATCCGATATTCCTTGCCTTACTCAACTATCACACAGAATGGATTTTCATCGGAAGTTACGTGTGCCAGGCGAGGTTGAACAAAGTCCCTTAGAGGAAATTGCGGAAGGAAATGAAATCGCAACCGGTTGTTACAAATTTTTAGTTGCAGTCATATATCTTGACCGTTTCCTGAAGAAACGGAGCACTGTTATCCTAGAACGAGGCTCATAGAGAGCGCGTTTACTCAACCGTGTCAGCTCAAGTTCCGGACTTTCTTGCGATCGAGGATGCGCCACGCATACCGCCCTCGAAATTAAATGTAATTTTAGATCTTATGACAACCTATTGAACAAGAGAATCGTTCTTCTGCATCGTCGAGCAAGTATGAAAATTTTACATTTCTAGATATAAAAATGAATTTTTAATTTATTTTTATTTTTTTTTATTTTTAGTTTTGGTACTCTATTTATGGCCTCTATTCATATTTATGACTATTTTTACAATCTTTTAAAGCGGATTTTTAATCTATCAAATCTTATCAAATTTTCCAAGAAAATAATAATAATAATAATTTCAGTCATTAAAAGATAAGTTACTATAATTTTCACTTTTTTTTTTTAATATTGAACATAATATCATTTAAGAAAAACATAAGAGAAAATAAAATAATGTGATAGAAAGATCGAAAAAATGATATTATAAAAAATTAAAAAATATTATGTGCATCATGAATATGTATATTGTTTTTATAATATGTATTATATTTTTTTCATATCAAAGGTATTCTTATATAATGAATGTGATTATTTGTTCCGTTCATCAATGCTTTATCATCAATCGTTAAGCAACGTGCTAATTATTCGCGATTGTTATTTAGAAAATTACCAATATAAAGGAACTAGGACAACGATGTTGCTTAAATTTACCGTAAATAACTAATATGAACGTCATACTAAGTGTACTATATATCTTTTAAAGACCTCTTTTTGTCTTCTGTTATAATAATTCCAAAAATTTCAATTTCGTACACTCATATTATATATATATATACTATATATATAAAATACAAGAAATCAACGATAATTTTTTAATATTATTTTCATATAATATATAATGTTTATACGTATAATAGTAGATTATCATTGCAAATTCGAATTCATATATATTCAAACTTCTTTAATTGCATTTAGTTTTATTTTTTAATTATTAATAATTAAAAAATATCTCTAGATACAAATTAAACTTAATTTAACTTAATCAATCTATACAAAATAATAAAAATAAAAAATTATATTAAAATTTTTAGCAAGTCTTGCATTTTAGAAAGTATATATATATCGATAATTTTCTGATATAAAATCTTGTAGAAAGTGCAATAAGCCGTATGAATTTGTACGGAAAATCTTTCGAATTCTATGAATCTCACAAAACCAGAAAATGCGTAAAATGTTCAAGATATATATACTTTTTTCATGATATAATAAATGGATTTAGGTTTGATTTTCATGCATATCTCTAATAATTCTTTTATTTTTTCTTTCTTAAAATAATTATCGAACTATTTTCATCTATTAAAATTGTTTTCTATTTGAGATCTCTTCAGATATATTAAAACAACAATTTTAAATTGATAGTGATTACAATATATTCAATTATCTGAATTTTTTTGTATTATTGTATTTATTGTATTTCTTTTATTGTAATTTTTCAACAAAAATTAAATCAATTTACTGATTTTATAGAAAAATTTTTATTTATTTATCATTAATGATTTATTTCTATCGAAATTTATTGTTTAATATCTTATTATTAATTTATTCAATTTTATTATTCGATCTTTTTTTAATTCTATTGTTTTGTTTATTATTTGTATAAACTTTTGATATTTATTATAAAAAATTAGAAGCATCTAAAAATTTAAGAGACTAAGAAAATTGAAAAAATATTTTTAACTTCATTTTTTATTTATTAATAATTATTTTTTATTTTATTTAACAATTAAACTCTAAATTATATGAATGAATATAATGATTGAATGATTTCAAACCAAAATAAAAGATAAGATTAATATAATTATTAATATCATCAAAACGAAATTTATCTTGACCAAATTCAGAAATTAATTTTTCCTGAAAATAATATTTCCTAATATTCGTGATTCAAACTAATTACAAGAAATTGCGATTATCGAGAATTTAGATTCTTAATCGTTTCTAGAAACTACAATGAAGTTGTGATTCTCAAAATAGAAATTTCGCAACCCATAATACTATTCCATCATAAATCAATAATCAAATTTTAAATACTCTCGATTCCTGAGTTGCGAGATCTTTCTAACCTTGAAAATACCCAAATTTTACATAACAACTTTTCTATGAAATGCACGATAAATGTAATGTGTTTTCATTCGAAATTTTCTTTTTATCTTTTTTTTTTAAATTCTCATAAATTTGGTTTCATGATGTTTTTTTCTTTATATATTTGTTAAACTGATTCTTATACATCTGATTATGAATTCTTTCTTGTGATATATATATATAGATATAATTATATAGAAATTGAATTTTAAATAATTAGAAAATGGCACAATCTGTTTATCAATAATGAATATATATGATGATTATATTACTTTCTTTTTTGTGCTCAATTTTATATTCACTTAAATAGATTACATTGAAATTGTTTGATAAATTTGTTTACTATGTTTCTCACAAATTGAAATTATATAAAATTATCAAATTCGATTTACTGTTTTATAAATTATTTTATCATCACATAATAAAAACACTATGAAAGAAGAAAAAAGTCAGTCGCGGATAAAACCAATTTTGAAGAAAACTAAAAACTTTGTGTAGATCAGTCGATAAGTAAGTTATCTCCTTCAATTAACATTTGTTCTGAAAAAAATATATATATATATATACTAGATAGTTGCACAAATATATTATTTATGATTTTGTATTTTGATGTTTGGAATCAATTGCATCAATCAATTGTTCAGATATATTTTTATGTAATTTTCATATATTTTCTCGAAAGAAGAAGGATATGATTGCGAATCATTTTATATAATTAATTATATAATATCATATATATATTTTATAATATGAAATTAAAATAGTATTGAGAAATTGGATGCAAATTCTTTGAAGACAAAAAATAGTTTCTAATTACCACAAATGTTTATTTATTTTTATTTTTTTTAAAGAATGAATTAACTTAATTATCTTAATATGTTATCTATTGATATATAAATTATTGTTTATAATAAATGTCTTTATTGGTCCTTATTAAGATCAATTTATAGAAATAATATTCAAATTTCATGATATAGAAATTAAGAATGAATTAATAATGAAAATAATATTTTTTTATGGAATCAATAAACCAGTAATTAAAATTATTTGCTCTAAAATTTAACAACAATATCTAGATTAGATTTAGGTTTAGATTAGATTAGATTTTTTAAAACATTTGAATTAGAATTATATACAATCTATTGATATATATATATATTATTTTTAAGAATCTAAGAATTCTCTCACTGAAAATTTTTGAATAGTAGGCAATGATCCAAGTTTCCGTAATAATTAGTCAGCAGGTGAAACATGCTTACTCCATCTAATAGTTCATAAAAAGAGACAAAGAATCGTACATGCGTGTAAGGTACACGTGAATCAACGGAACGTATAACGGACGCACGGTCTTTAATCGTTTGTCACGTGCGTGAAAAAGAAAAAGAAAGAGTCTGGAGGCCCATCGAGGCCTGTCCAGGTCGTTCCAATCTGCTTTCACATCGTTGTTTCGCCACTGCCGTTCGCCTCGAGCGCGGGAACATCGTCGAGCCTCGGCGATTTCTTTGACATAGAAAGGAAAACGCGAGCCCATCGTTCAATGGGAATCCGCTAGGCGTTAGACGATACGATAATTTCTAACCTCACCATGAGCCAATTGTCGTTATATTATAAACCGTTCAAGTTCTGAATCCCCACTCTGACTATCCTGCGGCAATTAAATAGAGTGTACTCTTTTTTTCTTTTTTTTTTTTCTTTTTTTGTAGAGAAATTTAGTATCGCGATGAAAGTGTTAATTAGCTATGATTTTACTTTTCTTTTTGGGAGAAGGTACAGAGAATTAAGGATATTTCGTGACAATGGGGATTGTAAAGAATAGAGAAGTTTGCAAGCATGATTGATTAGAGAGACTTGACTGATTGTTTATGGTAATTAGTCTTTGTGCGTAGAAAGTGAAATAAAGATTGAGGTCTAGGCTGCATACATGAATCTTTTACGAGGAATATATCAAAAGTTTCTTATCGATTTCAATGAAGTTCTATATCTATAGTAAAGTTAACTATATAATATAAACATAAATATCTGAAAAATCAATTATTAGAAAAATTTATTTATCACTTAGAAGTAACAAATGAATATTATCGATATCTATTTATTTATAATAATTGATTACTAACAAGTTTTAATTATAAATAATGTTTTAATAAAATAGTAATGTCAGCATTTCAGCATAAGTAATAAATATGTATATTACATGATATAGCGATGAAAAACGTTTTAAATATATGTTAATTTTAATAAGCGATTTTATTTCTATTATACTTCAATATATATTTTATATATTCTTGTAATATCAATATCATAATGTAATATCAATAATAAATTAATATAATTAATTATATCAGAAAAGATATAATTTAACAAAAATTAATCCAATTTAAATCATTTATTTTTTCATAAAAATCTCAACAATTTAGTTACTACTATTTTTATATAAGTAAAATTTTCTTTATTGTATGGTCATATTTTTTCTTACAGCATTTTTTTAAATTTATCTCGTTTCGTCATATTTATTTTTTTTCCTTCTTTTTGGAAGATCATAGAATTTAAATTCTATGATCTATGATAATTACTGAATAATTAAAAAAAAAATTAAGTTGTGTAAATTTAATCCAACAAATTTTAGTGAAATTTAATATTATTATTGCAAAATATTACGATCTATAAATGAAAATTTTTCTAGAAATATAAAATTTGATAAATCTTAAAAGAAAAACTTAAAATATTTTCAAACAAGAAAAACTAAAATTATTATTCAGTTTTTAAAATTAATTGTTATTAAAATTGAATAACGTTCAGTTTTTATTTTTCAAGAATAATTCAAATTTTGCTTTTTCAATATGGTTTTGCAATTTTGCAATGTTAGTTCAATGTAACACATTGGCAACCGGAAATGCAACATATTAAGTTTAATTGTATAATTGTGAAGCAACTTATATACCAGTGTCGCAGTTAAAGTGACAAGTATTCATGGCGTTCGCCAACGTTACAACAACCTTGCAAATGATAAAGTGCGAAATATGCTAGTGACACTAGCGTAGGTGACATAACCTCTTCGCGTTAACGCGTGGGATGGCAATGGTTGATGGAAATTTTCTAATAAAAATCATTCCAGATACGATCTCGATAAATCAATAAATGTTTTATTCCTAAAAAAAAAATGTATCTTTGTTGAAATTAATAAAAAAAAATATAAATGATACATAATAGAATTCTACGATTATCGAAGGCATTATTAGTTTAATATTTATATCACATTAACGAGTTCTATTATTATATATATTTTTTTGACATGGATTGATATTTTATTTTATATATGTAAATATCAAAAATATTTTACAATTATTTTTTATTAACGAATTAACGAAATTACTAGAAAATAAATGTTCCAAAATTTAATTTCTTTTAACTTAAGATATATATTTCAAAAGCAAAAATGAGTACAATATTCTTTTTTTTTTTTACAGATTTAATGCATGCTTTTATCACAGTGAATTAATAAAAAATCGTATCGTGGTTCATCGAGGAAATGCATTTTTAAATAACATTTCAGTTTTGTAAATAAATAATTTTTTTTCTAATTTTTCAACTTTTTATTATAACTTATAACTTTTCAATTTTTTATTATATAATGAATCAGCAATTGAGTTTTTACGTAAATAAATATAACTTGCTTCTATTACGCAACAAAACAAAATTATATAATATATTGTTTTACATACTCTATGAAATAAAATTGAAAAAAGAATAGATTTTGTTCTATTATTAATTATAAATGAATTTAAATTTTTTTAATTTTACATTATATATTAATATATAATATACTTATTAAAAATACAATATCAATTACATAATTTGTCTTATAAATTAAAAAACTATAGATCTATAACTTTAAACTAAACTTACTTTAAAATAAAAAATTTCAAATATTTTAATTTTATACTGATATGATATGAAAGAAATATGATTTTATGAAAAATTTACAATTCAAGTGATTTTAGGTTTATATATTTATCTCAGTTATCTCAGTTCCTGTAGTTTCCCTCGAGTTTCGAACAATTCATCCAGTTGAGCATTCGGAACATAAAACGAAAGATTCCGTTATTTCAAGCAATATAATTCCGTGCACTGACAGCAGAACGTAAGGGATGTAATTTCTCAGCAGTTTTTAGCATTCCTTTCGCGTAATCACCTGTTATGTGCGTTGAAAATCACATAACCGGAAACGTCTGTAATTTTCCTATGAAATTTTAATTTCTTCGTGATCTCATATCGTTCACTCTCAACACTAATTATTTTTTCTTATGAATAATTAAAAAATTGAAAACAAATTATTGACAGTTTTATTCCATGAGAGATTCAAAAAAACTCCTTATAAACTTCATATTTTAAATGTTATTATGTATAATGCAAATTTGTTAATTATAAAATGCTAAAAAAAGAAGATATAGAGGAAATTTATTCAAATATCTATTTTGTAAGATGTCAGAAGTTCCAAAAATTTTGATAATAAAACTATAATTATTTTCTATATTGCTTATTCAATTTCAATTTTATTTAAATTTTATTTAAACATTTACACTGTTAAAGAATTAATATTTTATAAAACATTTCAATTTTTTATCAAAGTATGTATATATTAATATAGGAATAAAAAAAAAGAAGGTCAATCAAATGATAATATAATGCATCGTATATGTCGAGTGCAAGGACGCATCGTTTGTATTATCGTTTCCTTTGTAACTTGCACCCTGAATCGATCTTCCGGTTATGTCATAATTTCTTCAATGGAACCTCAATTATACTTTATGACCACTATTCCACTGTTCACTCATCGACATAATAAACACATGCATTCGGACAAATTATGCAAGTTGCAATCGTAAATACTTGTGCAACAAATAATTTTTCTATCGTTAACCTATTTCTTGATTCACCTCGATGAGTACAATCATTATTAGTTCTGAAGGCAATGGACATTGACAGTTGACTTTGTCATTTAATTTGTGAAAGCTTAGCTATGTCAATTATATAATTTACAAGCGAAAATATTTTTCAATATTTCATAACCTATATCTTCTCTAATATAAGTATTTAATTTTAAAATTTCTTTCATTTATAATTGAAAAATTTAAATTTAAACAACTTTCATATCAATTTTTGTCTTTGTCTTTTTCAAAAAAACATCTGTAATTTAAAAGAATATTCATTGCAATTTGTTGTGATATTGATAAATTGATATTGATTATTAAAAATTATATAATAAATATACTATAAATATATTATCAAAAAATTTATAACATTATAAATATATTATTATAAAATTACCTATATTTAATTAAATTATAAAATTGTGTGGATTTTATTAAAATTCAATTAGAGGTTATTTTGTTACGTTATTTTGCTACCTATTAATTTCTTTGTTATTCAATCTAATAAATAAAAAATTTTATTGATCAACGAAATAATTTTTAAAAGAAATATTCAACAATAAAACAGAAAATTTGTCAGAATAAATGAATTCACTTCACGAAATGTGAATTCAGCAAGTGATTATGAAATTCTTTCCACTGTTCGCGATTTTTGATTACCCAATGAAGCTCGACTGTATATAACATAACATAGCCCGAATTCTCACGGTTGTCGTATTTATAAACCGGAATTGTGTCGTATCATCTTCAAACAATGATGTATTGATTTTATAAACATTAGCCCATGCACTGAATTAAAAAATATATAGATGATATATGAAAGTAATAATCATTCGAAAGATTATTTAATAGGTTATACTGTACAATAGAAGCAAAGTGAAGATTAAACAAGAGGGCACTTTGATAGGTGTAAATTTTCTAATTGTTCATTGAAAGTTTTAAAATTGATCGTGAATAAAAATATTCCTTACATTTTTTCTTATTCTTGCTGTTCAGAAGTGGAACTGAATACAAAAAATATTTATATATATGGATCTATTATTTATAAAATTTGCAATTTGATTTAGTTATAGTTTGAGGTTGAAAATACAATTTATGTTTAAATATTCGTCAAATGTTAGGTTAATGTTTATAAAATCAATACATAGATTAAAATGGTCAAAATATAAGCAATATCTATTGAAAAATTTATTGAAAAATCATAGGACATTTATATTTAATTCAAAAATCAAGATATAAAAGAAGTTATGTTATAATGAAAAAGATATACTAAAAATATACTTAAAAAAACATATTAAATTAAAATATTCAATTTTCATCGATTAATGAAATTTTATTATGAATAATTTTATTTTACAAAAGTGTAGAATAATGTGATTTGAATTTGAATATTCGGAGAAGAATTTTAATGAATAATATAAAAGTAAAGTAAAAAATAGATAAGAGATTTCAGGATAAAATCTCGAGTAAATCTTCTTATATTTTTCGTTCCTATAGTATCTTGTTTGAACAATCAGTAGGGATAAGCAGTTTGCGCAACAATGAAAGTACGTCGTAGAGAAGTGAAGGTTTATTGTTGAAAACGACATTCCGATCGTTCCCGCAATAGCTCTGGTATTCTTGTAATGTATAATCGTTTAAATATTAAATGATCGCTTAAAATTAGTTAAAAAGTTTAAAATGCAGATATATATATATATATATGAAACTTTCAAAGTTTTAGTTTTACATTGAACAATTCAGTTTTAAAAAAAACTTTTTGAAACTTTCTTCTGAAACTGACTTCAGAATCATTGAAAGTAACTTTTTTATTGTTTTTCATCTTTTATATCAAAATATACAAGATATATTCAAATTTTTTTTAATAATCCAAACTTCATTCAAGATTTTTAGTGATTTCGATTCTTTTTGCCTTTTGATTTTTTATTAGAAATAGTATCTTTAATCTTATTTTATTTTACATTACATTAGATTATTTTTGAATGTTTTATTGGTATACATTAATTCATTAATTATTAATTTATAGATCTTAATAGATCAAATGAAGTAATCGGTTAATGTATATTGTATTAACAGATTCAACAAATGATTTTGAATTGATTGCATCATTGAAATACTGATTTCATAAGAATTGAAGAACATCAATATGCTTTTTCTTTTTTGCTGAGGTCAGATAATTTCGTAAGAATAAAATTCGTGTCACAATGAGGTGTATGTTAAGTAAGAAATCAACTAAGAAATCAATGATTGAATAATAAAGAATAATAAAGAATAAATGCATTTATGATTTAACGATTAATCACGAATTAATATTTATAGATAAACGATTTGAATAATTTTTTGAAGAGAAAGAAAAAAAGAAGAAATGAGAACTAAGAAACAATTCTCAATAAGCCAAAGTAGAGACTTACAAGCATGATGTTCGATTAAGTTCGAGTTAGACACTAGCGGTCTAGTCACGCTACGATCACGACTTGGTCGCAGAAGTTTCAAACATTATTCAATGCTCTGAAGTGTGACTGTGACATATGAATGTTGATGAATACTAGACCATCGAAAAACAAGGTTTATTCTCATGATTCAAGGTTTTTAAACTCAGACGTGTGAATTCTGTGCTATTCCTTTGTTTTATTTCAGATGTTTATATTTCCTGGCAATTTTGATATCTTAATATCTTGAATATTTTCTTTTAATTTTATTCACAAATTCTAGTTTCTACATTATTGTATTATTTCTTCTCTCGCTTTGTGTGTTCTATTATATAATTCAAATAATAATTTTAAAATAAGGGATTTGACATTAATCTTAATCTTAACTTAATTGATTTCAGAAAATATAAAATGTATATTAAATTTAATGTACATAATATGTTATAGAGAGTCACGTACTTAGTTGGCTTTGTTTCAGAAATGAAAACAAGTATGATCTGTTTTCTATGTAACACGTGCAAGTATTATATACAATGGTTTCCGGTTAAAACAAGTCGATAACAGAAACCGATATAAAAAAAACAAACACATCTTCTGCAAAATATTACCAGAAATTAATCTTTGAACTCAATCATTTTCTGTTCACAAAAGAAACAATACTATTTTTTAATTATTTGTATAAAACAAAAAGTAATTAAATATCAAGTATGTTTTTTATTATAAATTTATAATGAACTAATATAGTAAAAGTTTTTACAGAAGTATATGAAACTTATATTTTTCTTTCTTTTTCAATAAATACAATTTAAATATAAAATATTATAATATTATATATTATTAGAAATATAATATATTTAGAAGTAATAATAGTACAATAAAAATAATACTATGTTCAAATTATCTATTTCAGTATATCATTTAAATCATTTAATATCAAATTATTAATTTTAATTCATTATAAAATTACATTTTTAAATTTTATAATTTTGAATATTAATTTTTATAATTTGTCAATGAACTGAAAATCAATCATTATAATCAATGTTTTCTTTTTGATTTTCATTTCTATTAGTATTTGTAAAACTAATTTTTTTGCTATATTGTAAGTTGCAAAACTACTATAAGTATTATTCCTAACAAACATTTTAATGAAAATTAAATGGAAAATTACATTTTTAATAACAAAAAATATAAAAATATAAAAAATGAAGTTACTTTTTTATTGTTTTAATCATTTAAAATTGAAATAAATATATGCAATAAACATTAATTCATTTTTTAAAGCAATCACATCAATCAATATCCATTTCTCCATATTCAATATTAATTTGCTTTCTCGTTTCACAATATCATAAACAGAAGAAAAAACAGTATCTTTCTTATTTCCAAAGCTCAATTTCATCAAACAACCATGTTAAGTCTTACCAAATCGGTTTCAACTAAGGATTAACTGATGAAAGAAGTATACAGGTATCGAGAAAGGGAAATGAGCACAAAGGTCAACGGGATTCCTATGCCAAATAAGTTCTGGGGAAAAGAAGCATTCCATATGGCGGTATAATTTGTTGATTGTGGAAATTATGCATTATTCCCATTTGATATTGCACGATCAGAAAGCTGTAATCATTTTTTATACTATACGAGTGGAGATGGTACAAATAGCATAACTGTATGTACGGATCCTCTGCTTGGGAGTGATGGGGGAGAGCAAGCCGACATTTTTATTCTAATGCGTGCTCACCGGCTGCGTTCACCAAGGTAAACGCGCTCGGAACGCTGGTGAAAATAACAGAGCTCGGTACGTCATATGCCTCTCTATCGACTACACTACTGATATTACCGTGTGGAAATTGCAACAATACAAGAGACCAATATATATAATGAATTTATAAGTAAGCCTAGCAAATGGATATTTAAAAAATAATTAATAATTTTCTTAAATTTATTTTCAAATAATTTATTTTAACGTAATTTTAATTGATATAAAATTTTAGTAGAGAAACTATTTTTGATATATATATATATATAGTGAATAATATATATAAATGATTAAATGTTATTTTCTATTTTTCAAATATTTTGTTTTAGCATAATTTTTGTAATAAATTCTTAAAACCCATGAAAAAATTTCTATATATTATTTTTTTGAAATCTTATTTTTCATTTTACACATTACAATGTAATACCAATAATGAAAGATATATATTTATACAAGGACATTACATTTTATATATATACAAAATAACGTTAATATTCAAAGTTTAAAAAATTAACTATGATATAAAAATTAATTGTGATATTTAAAATATCAAATATAATATAAATTTAAATTATTAAGAACGAAATTTTTATTTTACTTTTATTTGCAATCTCACTTATGTAATATCTTTTAATAAGAATTATTAAGAAAAAGATAATAATAAAAGATAAAGGATATAATATACTAAATAATATATTTTAATTTAGAAGATTTTCAAAGATACAAAGATATAAAGATATATAATCTATATTACTTTTCTTAGATTTTTTTCAATATCTATATGTTCACAATTTCATCTATATATCTTCTAGATAATTAAAATTATTATTAATTGATTGATTATTAAAATTATTATTTAAAACAATATTGCAATTAAAAGATGCTATAAAATTTAATTGCCTATTTTTATTTAACAATTAT